AGCAGCCGTGCTCTCACTCTGGGCTCATTTCCTCCCTACACTTAGACTCCCTTTCCCAAGCTTGCCAATGTGACCCATTTTTCCATTCCTGAAGCTTCTTGGATGCAGAGCTGTGGGGGCCACTAGTTTGTCTGGCTTTGGGGCCCAGGCCCAACTCAGAAGGCAGACTCTGGAAGCTACAAAGAGAAAGGGTGAACTTGTTTGTTCTACTCTCCCGCTCCCAATGCAAAGTGGTTCTAACCACCATCCCCAGTGCCAGGTGCCCAACTGGACGTCAGAACACGCTGAGGGCATATGTGGTGGGTCTTCCCAGCTGTGTGTAGGGGGGTGGGGCTCTGTGGGAGAGTCATCAGCCTTTAATTAAAGTCCCTAAATTGCTTCCCCAGCTGCTTAGTGGATTTTCCATGTTGGAATGTTCCAGAAGGGGTGAGAAATGCTGATTCAATTACCCTCTTCCTGTTCCGCCCAGTGGAGGAGAAGGGGCCAGGCACCCCTTCTCCAGACCTCCTACCTCAGCCAGACTGGGATGAGGTGAGTGGGGGTGGGGGTTCTTACAGCCCTGGGAGTTCAGGAAGGAGCTTGGAAAAGACTGGGAGGTGGTTACCTTTACCTTGCGGGTCCTCACCTGGCTCCAGAACTTTTGGCCATGCTGGTATGGGCTGGGATCCATGGGGCCCTTCCTCCCTGCTCACCAGGATGGGCAGGTGTACCTGGGTGACTACAGTATGCTCTGTGGGCTATGTACCCTGAAGGCCTGGAAACCCCAGCAGACCCTGGCCTTGTAGCCTCTTAACAAACTGGAGACATGGGAGGCATCAGGACCTGGATCCACCCTCCCCAATTGCCCCACAGTACTTTCCTAGCACGAATCTTCATTTTAGATGAGGAGAAGAGGCCCAGAAAGTGCCAGTGGCTTGCCTGTCCTCCTCCTTATGATTCTGTGCACATTGTTTCCTGTCCTCCTCCGAGGTGGTCCCTCTGCCCAGGGCTGAGCCAGCCTCCCCGTGGTCCCATGTAGGACTTGTTCCTCTAGCCAGACCCAGAGGCCTTTCCAAGCTTTAGATGGTCCCGTTCTGGGAGGGGTCTAGGAGATGGGTGAGAGGGGCTTGGGTGATGCGTGGAGAAGGAGCCAGCCTTCAAATGAACTGAAAACTAGCCAGTATAAGGATGGGTCAGAGACAGAAGGTTCTGGGAGATCTTTATTAGTTATTCATGGGCATGAAGGATTCATTAAAGGGTTTTATGGATCACAGATATAACAGGACAAAGTTATAGGGAGGGATGGTTCAGGGGCATTACAGTGAGAGGGGTGAAGGGAACCTTTACGTGGAGTCGGCTCCCCTGCTGGAAGCTTTACTGTTCCCAGCCCCAGGTGACACTTGAGGTTGGTCCTTCTGTTTGGACGGGGTGGGGGGGGCATTCTACCACAGTCTCAGTTTCCTCCCACACATGCATCCTTCAGTCCTCAGCTGAAGATCTGAGGAGGTCCCTCTGCAGATCTCTGGGCTCAGTCTATTAATGACTCAGTTCGACAGATTCTAGCCACCTCGGTCCCCTGGATATTCTGGCTCTTCATCACGGGAGTTGGCCTCAGTTCCCCTCCCTGCACCTAGAAGCCATCTCTGGGCAGCAAGCCAGGTGATCATAGGAATCATCTCTTTGTTTCCTGCCTCTTAGTGACACTATTCCATGCTGCCTGCTGTCCAGTGTTTGAAAAGTACTGTTATGTAGGTTTTGTGTCATTTTTCATTTGTTGCAGACAAATGGGTAAATCCAGTCCTTGTTACTCTATGTTGGCCCAAAGTGGAGACTTTTACACCACAGAGAAAGAACTATATTATCTTAAAAAAATAATAGAATAAATGGAGTGGGTATGCTTCCTCCCCTGGCTGGGCTCTCACTCTGCTGTTAGCAGGGAATGAGTCATGTCCCCTCTGAAGATCCCTTGGGATGGTAAGGCTGAGCCCTAAAGGGCTTCTTCAGGCGAGGCTGACTGCTCTGTCCCAGGGCTGGACTGGCTGGAGGTGGGCACATGTCAGAACACCCAGGTGCCACCCTGTTTCGACCCTACCCCAATACGCAGTGAGGGTCTCGACAGCATCTCTGAGGGGAGAGGGCCCACTCAGGTCACACAGCCCCTATAGGGAGAGGGAAGGGGGGACTTTGGCTCCTCAGTCTTGAGCCTAGAGGAGAGCATCACTGACAGGCTAGAATCTATAGTCTCAGAAACCCGGACGATCAGCTCGCTGCTGCGGAATCCAGGCCAGGGGACGGCACACGCAGTTTCAGTGTTACAGGAGGGGGATTGAAACACTGCACACCAGGTTATTCGATCACACTGAGCTGCGAATGGGCCTTGACTGGCTCTGTGGGCTCAGGTGCTGCCAAAGGCCTCGTGGAACTGGAGGGGGCTGGTTCTGAGCAAAATGCACCCAGCAGAACTGGCTGTCGGGTAGGGGGTGGGGAGGCTGAGGCCTCCAGGTTTTGGGAAGAGGGTCTTGGAGCTTCTCATGCAAGAGGTGGGGATGTAGAGGCTGGTGCTGGGTGGCAGAAGTGGCCCCCTCCAACCCCTGGCCCAGCACACTGGAGTGGGAACTTCTGGACGCCCCCGGGCTGCTGGCATGAGTACGCCTGGCTCCCCATACCCTCAGGAACTACTGGAATCTGGGGTTCTTGGTATTTCCGAAGGCAAGAGATTTTTCTCCCAACTTTGACTTTGCTCTGACTAAAGATTGTTTTTTTCTCATGACTCTTGTCTGGCTGTGAAAATCCTGGGCCAGAGATCCAGGTCACAAACCAGCTGTCTCAAAATGTACCTTTGGGGTTTTAATATATGCAGAGGACTGAGTGAGGGCACAGAGAGGCCTATGACATTGAGAGCTTTTTATTATTTACATTTCCCAAGAGAAGGGGCATGGCAGGTCACATAG